CCAAGAAGAAAATAAAGTTGAAACATGTGAAAAAGGTTGTTCAAGATGACCTGGATGAAGGGATTATTGGTAAAAATAATATTAGATTTGTTGCAGGGAATGCTGGAATCTACCAGACCTGCTTTTAAGTATTGCAAATACAAACAAATTTTTGTTCTAGAGGTTCTTAAGACTGTAGACAACATAATTGTACTCTATAAACCTTTCAAACATAATAAAGAAACTTTTTTAACATAAAATTTATTATTAAATAATTGTGTCACTCAAGGTGTGAGTATTTCTTTTAAAAAAGATGCAATATTTGGAAAGGTTCCCAAATAGAGCAATAGTGGATTTCATTTATCAAAAAGAAAAAAGCATTCATGACTACAAATCCACAACGTCCAAAATTAATTCCACGACACCCAGAATTAATTCTACGATGCTTAGAATTAATTCTACTGTAGTAACCACTTAAACCCAATTGGTCCCACAAATTTTATTAACTGCTATTCGTACTTTTAGCTATACACAATTGATTAATGATGACAACTCTGGAAGATGGCCATTTTTATTCATTATTTCAGATCTCAAATCACAAGATCGGCCACGACTCTGAATCCACCATTGCCAAGATCTTGATGGCTGCCAGTTTCTACAGACGAAACTGGCAACCGCTTTTTATTATCAACCGTGAAGCTATCGTCTATATTAATACAATTCAACAGCCCTATAATTTTAATCATATTTAAAAAAAAACTATATAAACCTTCGTTTTTTTATATTAAATGTAATTTATATTTTTTTAAAGAAATATTTAAGGTGAGAGGGACTCCAATCTGTGCATCGTCTGGTCATTCATTTTCCTTACATCATGCTAACTCTCACTATATTACCACTCCCTTGATAATTTAATATTATCCTTGAAATTGCTGGGTTTGCTATCGCTGACGCACTTTTCAAGCATAACAAAATATCTGATAATCCTAGTCCAGATTCTATTTTTGATACTGATTCTATCTCTAATGATAAGTTATCAAAAAAAAAAGAATTTTGGTGGTATAGAGAAGATGAAGCCGTGAATTATCGAACGCCTTTGATGTTTCCTGATGATAGCGGACACATAACAGAATATTTGCAAATTAGAATATCAAGAAGTAAAAAGTTTTTAATCGATCATTTTTACAAACCTCTTATCAAATAGTATAAATTCATTATTGAAAAAGACAACATTATAGATGAAAAGAGCAAAAAATTGCTGTTAGGATTACTGTATCTAAGAACAAATGTTGAAAACATTAAGCTTAAAAATGGTTGTAAATTTGATCTTCACGATCTTAACATTAAAATAATAAACAAATAAACATATTTTTTTTATTACACTTAATATAATTTTTTATTAAATATTAAATATTGATTGAAGAAGGGTTAAGTTTGTGAGATGTGACGAAAATGAGGTTTAATGTTAGATATTTTGCAAACTTTAGTTTGCAAAATATATCACATCACCGAGGCGTTCATCATATTGTAGCAAAGTTACTGAAAAGTTTTTGCCAAGCTTTTCTTGAAAAGCATGTCTAGCGAAGTGATCCAGCAATTTCAAGGATAATATTAAATTATCAAGGGAGTGGTTGATTTTGCCGTCATTTGTCACAATGATTTGGGACGAGACTGGGATCGAGCCAAATCGACGATGTCATCGTCGATGATATCATAGACTCAGGCATCCCATATCACCGTACAAACTGAGGCAAAATCACTTTAATTCTTTTAATTTACTTGAAAATTTGTTTAAATTTCAATAAAATTTTATTAAAATAAAGAAATGAATATATATTACATTGTTTGTTCTTATTACAATTCCAAATTCACTTTCTAATCTCTGCATCTGTGAGAAGATGTCTAAAAGATGCCATTACAAAAGTTTCTGATGTGGAAAATGAAGATGCTCTATTATAACAAAAGCCAAATTCAGCTCTTGTTAAAAATATAGTATATAATCTTGCTCGTTCAGTAATCGTAAAAATTGAGATTCAAGTAGCTAAACCTTCATTATTACATGTCTTAAGAGTGATATAGTGTAAGACGCTATGTGTAGACCATTATGATACTAATAAATTATGATGTGATATAAGAAGAGTTTATTTTAATATTTTATTTTGGCATTTATTAGTAATTAGAAAAGCGAGATGATTTTGGACGTTAACAAATTGTTATTTTTGTTAAAATATAATAATCATAAGCTTTATTTTTTTTATAATTTTGATTGGTGAGTATTTGTATTTGGAAAATTTACAATTCCAATTATAGTAATTGAATTTTTATTATTTTAAGTTAGTGAATATTAGAGCATAACTTTATGAGTGGCGTGTATATTAAATACGCATGTTGATAAAAAAAGTATTGATAGTAAGTAATAAAAACTATATAAAGACTTGAATTTCGCCATTGCAAAAAATAAAAAAAAATTGAGAAAAGATCACAGATTTCTTCAAAATATGACCACTGTTTTTTATTGCATTCCTTGCGTAAATAGATATAAATATGATAAAAACCTTACTAAGAAAAATAAACGTATCCGTGAAGAACAATATGCTAAAACAAAAAGAGTTCCTTTGTGTTCTAAATGTCAGAAAAATCATTGGCAATGTAAGAATAACACATGTGAGAATTGTTGTAGGTTAAATGAATATAATGATTTTATATGTTCTTTATATAAAGCATAAGGTATTGATTGTAAATACATTTTTTCGCATATACAAGATGATTACTAGCAATTGGAAGCTCAAGGTGTAACCTATATGTCTGGTTAGCCAGAACTAACAGAGAATGGGTGCTTGCATGAACAAGTATTTTTTCAGTTTAATGACCATAAAACAGTTAAATCAACTAAAGAAATTTTTAGTCATAAATCTATAAATTTTTCTAAAGAATTACTAGGTAATTCAGAGCATAATCGAGCATATAGTATGAAGCCATGGAATTGCTGTAAGGATCCTCTTCATGTTAAAGATTGTCGTTGTGATTTTATGGATCGAAACAAAATTTGTAACGTATGCACAGTTGAGTGTATTAAGAAACATACTCATGCACGTTGGGTTGATAACGGACGTGAACTTGGACCTTGGGAATTTGGAACCTATCGCTTTTTATCCGTACCAGCTAAATTTTTGGATGTCAAGAAGGAGAATGATGCACGTGTTGAAAATATCATTCGAGAAAATCTTACAACAGAAGATATATTAGCGGATCCGGTAAAGTTGGCGCCGCGATATTTTTATCGATCATTTCAGGATTTGGATTATATTAATAACTGCTAAAAAGAAATTTTAAATGAATCTTTAAAACGTTTTTGGCATCCTGTAACTTTTTACTTTTATGGTGAGGGTGGTGCAGGTAAATCGGGGATAGTATTTGAGCTTTTAACAAGTAATTATATGTCAAGCCAAAAAAACAAAAATCAGGTTCTAATTGGTGGAATGGGTATAACAAACATAAGATAGTTCTTTTTGATAAGTGGTATACATGTATTGATTGAAATGATATTGTTAAATATCTTAACGATACTCCAGAGGATGTTGAGCAAAAACACAAAGGATTTATTCCATTTCTAGCTAAATATGTATTTATGATATCTTATAAGCCTCTGGAAGAAGCTTTTAATTTTTGCCGTAACCATATTAATGATAAATCATTTACTCAACAAGATTGGGATCAGTTTTATCGTCGTCTTGATTTTATAATTGAGTTCACAGAGAAGTAGAATGATAATATAGACTAGCACACCACCGAGCTCATATTTCATAAGAGTTCAGAGGAAGATTTTTGCAACATGAATTGGGATATTAAATATCATAAGGGTGAATTTACTGTTGATGAGCTAAAAACTATAGTTCAAAGTTTAAATCAAGAGCAAGATAGTAAGGTGATCATGAAACAGAATCAGGTTTACTGGCATCATCACTTTCCCGAATTTAAGAAAAACTATTTACACGACTATCCTAGATATCGCGAGCTTTCTGACTACAAACAGGAGCTTTTACAACAATCACAATTAGTTTTATCTTCAACTACACCAGGTAAAAGATCTCAAGAACATATATCCGAATCCAAAACTAAATCATATTTTGATAATGATTCCGATTACAGTCATCAACAGTTGATGGCCAAATCTAGCACTACTCCAGCAAAAAAAAAACCTAACAAGCGATTGAAGCATCGTATCAAAAAGTTTCTAAATGATTCAGATCATGAAATTGAAACAATAAATAAGGAAAATGCATCAATGATCTTGGATGATGATCATAATTCTACATAATATTTAGAAAGATATGTTTTTTATTTCGAATTTTGTATTTTCGAATTGTGATATTTTTAAGTATAAACTGTATTTCAATGATAAATCAATTATTGAGTTTAAATTTAATAAATAAAAATAAAAAATTCAATTCACTTTTTTCTCAGAGCAAATTATTGGCTTAGCCGGTTGATTTTTTTTTAAAATCGGCTAATCGATTTTGGCATATCTAAAAGATTAAAAAATTAAATACCGTATAAGCGCGAAATAACGGGCATGGGCGTTGTTTTAAAAATTGAACCCCTTTAAAAATAGTATATATAATTTCAAAATGATGCCCATGAGCATCCCGAAATAACGTACACTCTATATTAAACTTTTAGCAAGAGCTGAATTTGGCTTTTGTTATAGTAAAGTTAAGAAAAAAAAGCGTTTGAGCCTGATCAAAGTTTAATTAGGCCTAAATGCTTTATTATAACAAAAGCTGAATTCAGCTTTTATTAGAAATATAGTATATAATCTTGCTCATTCAGTGATTTATTTTAATCAGATTTATCTCAAAATAATGCATATGCACGTACTCAAAATAACGTGCAGGTCAATTATTCCCTGTAATTGCAAACTCTAATCGAACTTTGGCATTGGTGATCTGTACAATGGATCGCCATCATCAAAGTTCGACTGAAAACTTTGACAGCATTGATTGGAAACGTCAATGACACGCTGCAACGCGGAATAGGAGAGATGGTATCTGATCACGATGCCAGCTAAGTTTCAGGGTGAGCCGATCCAGCTCACCACTGCTGTTGGCATATGGCAATTGTTCTATCCCTTGTGATTCAGTTCATTCCGTGAAAAAAATAGCACACAAGGATAATTTAGGTTTACCAACTGGGTGGAAGCCAATAATTTATACGCATGTTTGCTACTAATTTCGCGGTGAGATTGGGTTGAGCCCCTATAGCGTAGGGGGCACCACAAATGATATAAGAACAACAAGCGCATGATTTGTGTGAATGTTAATTAAATTTGCCAATACAAATAAAAACTATAAATTCACATTTTAGTTAAATTAATTAAACAAAAATAGCATCTGGTTCTCAAATCAATAGTAGTGAAATTCAACAACAAAATATTAATTTGCTATGAGAAAATACAGACTTGCTTCAAAGAAATATTGCATTAATTTCTGATAAAGAAGAGCTGCTTAGAATAAATAATGAATTAACAATTAGACTTCAAGAACTTGAGACAAACAATGCTCAATTAATCGAAACAAACAATCAAATAACAGAATTGAACAATGGATTAAAGATTGTTTTACGTGATGCTGAAGATGAACGAGATAATTACAAGATGTCAAATTTTGCTGAATTTAATAATTTTGTTAATAATTACATATTTGGATTGTTCAACATGTTAGCACAATATCAATTTTTAAATTATTTAGTCAAATTTATTAATACTTTTAATTTGGTATTAGTGATTCGAAATAATAATTATGTGCAGATAATTTATAAAAAATTTATTTGGCCTTTATTTGCAATTCCATATGTTTGGTTAACTGAATACAAGCGTGTTCGAGTTGCTGAAATTATTTTTGTTAATATTCTAACTGCTTATTTTATAGTATACTTAACTTTATATTTGATTTTTATTGTATTTTTAAAAAGTAACTGCTGTTCAGTAGCAGCTATTGTAAATTGTCAATAAATATAAATACAGTTTTTGTACAGTATTTTAAAAATAAACAAATGGATCGCTCAATTCCAGAGTTAAAATCTATTCAAGATATTATATTTGATGAACAAAAATGTATTGGATTTTTAATTGAAAAAGAAATCATATATAGAATTGAGAATTGTAAAATATGCAATTCAGAAATATATCAAGAAAATAAAATATATCGATGTAAGAATCAGGAGTGTAAAACTTCATTATCAGTTTATACAAATTCATTTTTTGCTCAAAATCATATTAGCTGCTCAGATATTTTATTATTAGCTTATTATTGGATTTGTAAAGCAAAATATA